ACTTGGTTTTATTCAAAACTGCACAAATCCCGCGTTTTCTGATGATATCCGACGATTTCATGAACGAAAATGGCCAGCAGCCAGAATCAAGGGGGATTCGCATAGAGTTCTGGTTCTGAGTTCTGTATATCTTTATTTGCTAATTTGTCAATGCGCTGTAGTCTCTCTAGTCTGTCGGTTATTGTATGTTGATCTTGCGGACTGTTTAGTCAAGCATTGTTTTCAGTCGTTTTTTATTGATCTTGGACTTGTACATTTTCCTATACTATTTCTGAAGATCTACGGGCGGGCATGTTATTCTCACGTTCGCATACCCACAAACTTCAGGTCGAGGCTGGCGTTGTGCATTAAAAACGAATGTGGATTTTTTTTTTAAATTCACTGCTAATCTGTTTTGTTTGTTTTTTTTGCTATTACCACGATAAAACGCATTTCGTATATTTTTTACAATCCTAGGCATGAACAAGTACATTATAATACACCTTATATATTTTTACCATATGTCGGCTCGCCAAGTAATGTGCAGATAATAGATGCCCCATTGGTGAAATCCCTACTCCAAACAGCGACACTATGGGTTTTTTTTCCAAAGAGTATTTTTCTTTCATTTTCTTCACCATTTTAACATGGAATATCACATATGTAAATATCAAGAAAATGGTCTTATTTTTACTTTTGAGCAGTATGTGTGGCTTCACCTTATAATAAATAGTCTGGCGTGAAAACTTCTGCCCGGCACCAACACCGGAGAGCGCCGCGTGTGGTGAGACAATGTTTTGAGCTCGCGCAAAGAAGTCTGGGTAAAGGAGTCCTCGGAGCCTCGATTTAGAATTTGTGAACGTCGAATGTTGCGTGCAGGAGCAGACGACTTGATACAATATTGAAGTTGCAACCAGGTGGGTGCAAACTATCTTTTTCATACGGCGAGTACATATGATGTATGATGGTATAATGAGTTCACAAATCACTACACTGAATATTTGTGTTTACAAAATATGGAGTAGACAGATGCATTCGCTTGGTTCTGTGGTTGCTCAGCATCGACGTCTAATTTATGGGGCGGAATGAATATATATTTGATATTTCCCGATACAAAAATAAAAGAAATTATGAGATTGAAACAGTTTAGTAATATAATACAAACATATATCATTACATTTCTTCATCAAAGCTCCAGAACATTCGAAATCACTAATACCCACCGATCAGCCTGCACTATTGATTACGAATCATTTTCCAATAGCCCATTGTCTTTATAGGCATTCGTAGGGTTATACAAGTTATTTAGTATTTTGAGCTAAAAAGAATGTGTGCATATTTTGTTTTGTGGATATGACTTAATATACATTCAACAATTTATTGAAGTGAACAGTTGAAACTTTAAAGGGCTGTGGTCGTCACGCTGCGCAAATGTGCGACATTTGTGTTGATAAACATTGTTTTTCCCCACTGTTCAATGTTCTCTTCTTATCGATTTACATGTATGAGTTTTGACCTGAGTGCATATGTTCACCTCAAACTGTCCTTAGGCTTCTATTATACTCATATATATATAAGTCGTTGATGTTAGCAACTGTTCAGGAATCAACTCCCAAAGGTTCTCAATAGGGTTCAAATCTGGAGACTGTGCAGGCCAATTCAAAGTTGTAAAGTTGCTGAAAAGATATCCATAGTCATGTGGATTATTTAGAAAATCCTTGACTGCCTTCAGTACATGGACTAGCAATGCTAAGTTGGTAGCCGAAAAACACCCCCCAGACCATGACACTACCACAGTTATTCCAGCCCAGAAGCACGTTTCAAAATAATTTCAGCTTCCCAATTGGTTCAAATTTGCATGAGAAAGGACATGATTGGCCCACATCTTTTATGGCACAAAATGTTAATGAAATTCAAATTATTTGCAAATGAGCACACTCCTATGGAGACCATAGTCATTTTTGCTAACTGAAAAAACGTCTACATACATAAAAACTAAACACAAATCAATCATTTTATTTTGACTAAATGCACTACTGGGAGGGAGGGGGGTAGTTTGTCTT